AAAGAAATATAAAAAGTACAATAATGTTAAATGATTGTAAACATATTATACTGAGAAGTTCTTAAAAATTGTACATTTTTATTTATATTTTTTTTTTAAAGCTTGACTTATTTTTTCTTAAAAAGGTTTATTTTGGACAAATTGTAATCGTTTTAATTCATTGAAAAATTGTACACAATATGCCAAACTACGCATATTGTTTCTTCTCTTTTCTTCTTTTCTTTTTTTCTTTTTTTTTTCTTTTTTTTTCTTATATAAAGTATTTTTAACAAAACAAAGGAGCAGAAAAATTATCCTTTACCATATAGAATATTTTTCTCCTAACAGAATCCATGGATGCATGATACCAAGTATACTCAGTTGTTTCTGCTGGCATTTCAGGAAGTGGTCTTGTTTGACATCCAATTATTTCTACCTTGTGCTTATGAGGGGAAATACTTAATAAATCTAAAGCTTTTTTAACTTCTTGTGGCTTTAGAGCATTAGGACAGTCCTGATTTTATATATAAATATATTAGATACTGTGAATCAGCAAATAAATGTTGTTAAAAACATTTACCTGTTTGTTAGCAATTACTAAAATTGGTACATCATCCATTCTTGTATCACTTAATAACTGTTTCAGAATAGAAGCAGCGGAAGATAATTTGTTTACATCAGATGCATCTACTACAAATAATAACAGATCTGTATCTTGTAAGAAAGCAGTCCAATATTTTCTAGTGGCATCTGAACCTCCAACTAACAATAAAATAATATTTAACAATATGATCATATCATATTAACAACTTTTAGAGAAATAAAATTTACATACTATCCCAAACATTGTAAAAGGAAACGCCATTTTTTATTCTAAATACAGAAGAACCTTCAGTTGGTTTTGGAGGTACAGTGTAAGAAGTTTCATCACCATTTGCGACGCATATTTGGTTTATAATTGATGTTTTTCCGGCCCCGTCTAAACCTAACACAACCACTCGTTTTTCATGACTATCGTAGATCTATAAAAGCAAAGTAACAAGGATTGTTACTCAGTTTATATTCAACGAGTAAATATAAACGAAATGGAACTACTAAATTATTGTTTGAAACTATCGAGAATGGGTTTCAAACAAAATCGGAACTCTAACCTTAGATACCTCTTCGAAACCTTCGTCTATTGTCAAAAGTTCTCGCTTTTTCCAATACCGGTACACGATGTACGTGCCAATACATGTACAGCCGATCCAAAATATCTTTTGACCGTTTCGAAATACATTTCGTATCATTATTCTTGAGTATTTTATTTGATGTAAGACTGAAAAGCAGAGCCGACTTTCTCGGCTTAGATTTCGCGTGTTAGCACGTTGTCTCACAGATAATCACTTCACCGCATGACATGTACCTCACATTGTTCAAATGATGTTCGCGTAATTATAAGATTTATAAAATACATTTACAAGATTATTTGCATTTGTGTGAATTTCTAACGGTATACAATAAAATCTTACTTCAAAAGCACTAACTCTTACTATGTTTGTTAATTTGGTACTACTGTTAAGATAAAAGCTGGGAATAGAACCATTTTCCCGTGATAATTTTTGCATTTGACATTTTGTACATGTATGAATAACAATTATATGTATGATGAAGTATAAGTTGAAAAAATGTCATTGTTGATTGTTTATGTTAATTATGTGTGAAATAAATAATTATATTTAAATTCAATTGTGTTCTCTTGTACTCGGCCGTAATCCACCCGATCAATGTAACCACACGTTTTTGACAGTTCTGTCGTTAGCGGGTGGTTTACCTAGTTTTTAGATAGTATAAGAAAACTTTCTGGTATTTTGATACGATATTATTGTGCCTCGTATATAGAAGCATTCGTAAATTTATTTCTGTCCAACGAGTGTTTCAGAGTTATAAAATATGAGGAATGGTTAAGTCAGTAATATATAGGTTAAAGATGAATGTTTTAAAGTGATTCTCTTGCTTGGAAATACTAAAAAATGGATAACGTTGCAGAGTGTTTAACTCTTGATTTTGGCCCTTTCGAAACTGTTCATCGCTGGCAACGTATGCCAGAATGCGACGAATTCGTTGGCGCCAGGTAATTTGAACTAATCTAAATTTACTATTTGAAATATTATTTTCAATTTTTGTAAATTGTTCTTGAACCTTTTTTAGTTTTTTACAATGTGCACTTAATAATTTTGTTACAGCATTTTAATTCCGATAATTGTGCATCAATGTTTCAGTTATATCCAGCATTTTCTAGTTTCTTTATTTCCTTTGTAACTTTATTTCAAATCAGTTTGTTTATAATTGTTAATTGGAAATTAGAAATAAATAATAGTAAATAATTTGTAGAGTTTTTGATTATTACCATTATAATTTTTACATAAGTTAAGTTACAATAATGATTACATATAATTTTCAAGCGATTAAATTTGTTCTCCCATTGTATTTTATTTTCTTTTATTAAATATTATATTAAAAAGAACTTTGTAATTATATCACTCCAAAGTTTACTATATTATATCGTACACAGGCGTAGCAAACATACTGTTGTAGCATACAGAGATGCAATCTATGTATTTGGTGGGGATAATGGTAAAAGAATGTTGAATGATTCATTGAGATTTGATGTGAAAGAAAAGTCCTGGGGACGTGCACTTGCAACAGGAGCACCTCCAGCTCCACGGTATCATCATTCTGCAGTTGTACATGATTCTTCTATGTTTGTATTTGGTGGTTACACTGGTGACATACATTCCAATTCGAATCTCACCAATAAGAATGATCTATTTGAATACCGATTCCAAACTGGTCAATGGACAGAATGGAAATTTATTGGAAAGTATGTTTCATTTATTCAATTTAATTTTACTTTTTATTTTCTTAAATTATTTATTAGATAATTATACGCAATGTAAATTCTTTATTCTTTTTAGAACCCCAGTAGCTAGGTCTGCGCATGGAGCTGCTGTATTTGATAATAAGTTATGGATATTTGCTGGCTATGATGGTAATGCAAGATTAAATGATATGTGGACAATATCATTACTAGTAAGATAACATTGCAATGAGTAAGCACTGTATTTAAAGAAAGTGACAAATTATTAATTGTTTTTTCTATCATTTTTAGCCTGGAGAACCAAGAGTATGGGAGGAGGTTGTTCAGTCTGGTGATCGTCCACCAACATGTTGTAATTTTCCTGTTGCAGTAGCACGTGAATCTATGTTTGTTTTTAGTGGCCAAAGTGGAGCTAAAATCACAAATAGTCTTTTCCAATTTCACTTTCGCGAAAAGCGGTAAGTGCATACCTTTATATTTTGAAGTTGTATCATGTTCAAGGACATATGAATCATCAGATGGACACGAATTTCAACGGAGCATATACTTCGTGGTGCACCACCTCCGCCAGCGCGACGGTATGGTCACACAATGGTCAGCTTTGATAGACATCTTTACGTGTTTGGTGGTGCAGCTGATTCTACACTACCTAATGATCTCCACTGTTATGATCTTGATACACAAACATGGAATATTATTTTACCATCTGCTGATAGTCAAATTCCTTCTGGTCGCCTGTTTCATGATGCAGCAGTAATCGGGGGGGCGATGTTTATTTTTGGTGGAACAGTTGACAATAATGTACGCTCTGGAGAGACATATCGATTTCAGTTTTCATCCTATCCAACATGTACCTTGCACGACGATTTCGGGAGATTGTTGAAGGGACGACTTTTCTGTGATGTAGAATTTATAGTAGGGGATACGAAAACGAAAATACCTGCTCACATATCCATGGTAGCTGCTCGTTCCCAATTTCTTAGGACTCGCATTAGACAAGCACGAGAAGAACGAGATAAACGTTTGGAAAAAGTCTTTGGAACTGTGCATGTACCAATTAAAGATATGCCGTTGTTAGAGGTAAGTAAATTTATCAAATTACTACTAATTATTGGTATTAATACCTTGCTATATTATTATTACCATTATTATTAGGTAAGCCTGAAGGATGCTGAACCAGAAGCATTTGAAATGGTCCTAAACTACATTTACACCGATCGTATCGATCCAACTAAAAGAAACGAGGATGGATCTAGCAGTCGCGTTGAAGATCTATTAAGCAATCGAATTGTGCTCCTTATGATGGATGTCTATCGTTTAGCTTTGCAATTCAACATGAAACGATTGGAGCAGTTGTGCGTGCAATATTTAAAAGCGACCATAAGTCATGCTAATGTTTTGGAAGCATTGCACAATGCCGCCCACTTAAAACTATATTTTATAAAGGATTTTTGTTTAAGCTTTATTGTAAAAGAAATCAATTATAATCAGATTGTGATGAGTAAAGAATTTGAGACCTTAGATCAGCCTCTAATGGTGGAAATTATTAGGAAAAGACAAATGCCTCAAAGAGGTGCATTCTCTAGACAATGTGACCTAAGTACAGGTACAACTCTTCTATATTCTTTATAAAATAACAATTGGTTTTACTTGAATTTTTTGTTATTTTAGGGACGACTTTGGAACAGGATATGGAGGCATTTCTTAAAAGTGTTGGCAGAGAATTCTGTGATATTAGGCTTATGTTAGATGGCGTGCCAATTCCGGCTCATAAAGCCATTCTTGCGGCACGTTGTAGTTATTTCGAAGGAATGTTTCGCTCTTTTATGCCAAAAAATAATACAGTGAATGTAAGTTATTGTTTTCTATACATCTGTTTATTCGTGGTAATTAAATACATTGTACTAAATCCTGTGTCTTTATTGCAGATACAAATCGGGGAAATGATTCCATCTTCCGAGTCATTCGATTCTTTATTAAGGTACATTTATTATGCAGACGTTTCAATGCCACCCGAGGACTCTTTGTATTTATTTACTGCACCAGTTTTTTATGGCTTCACAAATAATCGACTGCAAGCGTTTTGCAAGCAAAACCTCGAGATGAATGTCACCTTTGAGAATGTCATACAGATCTTAGAAGCTGCGGATAGAATGCAAGCTGTTGACATGAAGAAATATGCGTTAAATCTTATCGTGCATCATTTTACAAAGGTATATACCAAAATGAATTTCTCTTTTGCACGTTATAAAATAAAAATACTTCTTATCGTAAAAATTATTTTATGGTTACAGGTCGCAAGGCTTCCGAGGTTAAAACAATTAAGTCGTGAACTTTTATTGGATATTTTGGAGGCATTGGCTGACGAACGCAGCGAAGCACGAACATGTCAAGACATGGCAAACGATTGCTGACGGATCTCGAGCTCGCACCGCCGTCCGTGTAGCTGGGACTTGCCTTCGCCCTCGAGCTTTCATGTAAGTGTACAATACAGCATTCTAACAACATTCAACATGTTTTATCTTCTGGGTTATGGGTACATGCTAGATGAGTGTCTGAAAAATTTGAAACATCGTGCGCGTATGTAAATAGGCAAATAAAATGCGAAAGCTGAATCCGATAGCTAAGCCAGCAACAAAAATTGTGATCATTAGAGTATTTAATTTATTTGTACATAAAGTATGATTTGTTGAGAATCTCTTGTAAAAAATAAATAAAAAAATATTTGTTGGATCATATAAAATTACCCGTCTAATATGCGTCTCATTGGATAGATATAAAAAATTATTAATAAAAAGTTAAAAAACAGATTTTTAATTGTCGACTTGTTAACATTACCCACTGTTTAAAAATTTAATGTCAGGTTTAGCAGTTAGGAATTCAATTGGATATTAAACTAGACACGTGGTTAATAAATTATGTACTATATTTTGACCTTGATCGTGAATGATCGTACATACACGCACAATCGATATCTTTTTTTTTTTTTTACGGTAATTTAACACTTTAAGCTTAATGCAAGCTGCGCAAATTTTGGGAAGAGGAGGATTGAAAGAAACCTTACGTAAAGGAGCTCGTATAAAATCATTGCTCTTGTTTTCTCTCTACGTATTGTTGTCTCTAGTTAGGTGACGTACGTCGACAGTCCGACACTTCAGTTCAGTCTCTTCAACAAAATATTGCGAAATTGAATTTGTACTTAAAGTAAATGTGTTTCCCGCTCTCGTTTCACGCTTCTCGTAACATTCCGCGTTCGTAAGTCGCGTGTTTATCGAAGCTTGTACGAGGGATTAGTATAACTGTTCTTTTTGTTTTGTCTTCTCTACGTAAAGTGTGAATTTTCTCTACGCGTGTGTCCACTTTTCTAAATGTTCGTACCTGTTTTTATATCGTTTAAATCACGAAACTCGAACTCGTTTAGTTTAAAATTGTTGCTCTAAAGGCGTCTTACTCCAACTATTATAGTCATCTAAACTTAAATCACGATAAATAGTCGTAATATTAATTACACTAGGTAGGCCTTTTTTTTTTTGTTCTGTTCGTCGCTTAGAATTCTAAATGAACTAGGGTAATATTGAAACGTATTCGTCTCAGCTCGCCACAACGAGTTAATTACAAAATGAGATCTAAAAGTTACACCGCTAGAATCAAATTAGTTACAATGATACGGTCGTGGTACAAACTTCACGTTGATTTCGAATGGCCCCAATCTGAAACAGAGTCGTGTAAAGTACGGAACCCAATCGAGATATTCTGCATTTTCGGTTGCTCGAAACTCGCATCATAAACCAGAACGTTCTACACTCACCGATTGTAAAATTGCTCGATTCATATCGTAGGCACAGGGAGTACGACACGTTTACCTCCTCAAGTTGTATCCGTTCTCAATTATTTAAACCCTTTTCTGATCCTGCATGAAAGTGTGTGCAGCACTTGCATACAGACAACAGAAAGTAACATCTTGTTTCTAAACACGACGTATCACGTACACCCTCATCAAATGCAGATGGTCCGTAGCAATTTATCTTTTCGGCAGGTTACTCTTGTATCCCAGTTCTTGTCATTTCTAAAAATACATTCGTATCTTCAAGCTTGCTATTTCATTTGGCAAAAAGCATCGCTGAACATTGCACATAAAATACAAGGTGTTTTGTGCACCTCTTCGTGCGAAAAATCTAGGTCATTTTTTGCTTCATATGCAATCAAAGAATAAAGGAGCACGTCAGTGGTCCATATTGATTTTCAGCAGACTCTATTTCGTCATTAACGAGACGCTAGCTGATATGTGCAGTTCGTGTTGTTTGAATATTCAAGAGGTATACAGAGTGTTTCACAAAATGTCATCTCCAAGAACAAGCTGATTTATCTTCCACGTCTATCGAAATGACTTTGAACACAGAACACCTTGCATCTGAGCTATTTTGTTTGATACAAGAAGAAAGAAAGAAAGAAAGAAAGAAAAGGAAATTCTTTTTTAATTTTATCGTTATAGATGGATGTTTAAAGAGACGAGATCGTAAGTTTAGATCAAACCGTGAACCTTTTCCTCCGCGATGCTGCTGGTCGATGGCATTCTGTGCGAAGGTTCCAGCCTTCTTCGTCTCTCCTCAATGGCTTCCGTGTCTAGATTCATCGTAGGCTGAACTGTCTGTGTCACAGACGTGCTTATGTGTCTCGTTTTAACGAGAGGTGGATTTCGTGATTGAGGAATCGCGAACGCTCTTCTGAGCGCCCCTCTCGGGGGCGACGGTGGTGGATACGAGATACCTGATGGTATTTTTTCGATTAACACCCTAACGTAACGAGTATTTCATATTTCAATTTATTTTTTCGTGCTAATATGAAGCAGTGAATATTTCATCTTTCGTGAGTATTCCATTGTAACAGGATCGGGAGAAGCATTAAGAAGGGACAGGAGCGACTGTTTCTAAAAATTGGATCAGTGCAACAGGACGAAATAAATTAGGCCGATATTATTTGAACCCTTAATTTTAAACGTTCTATATTCTCCTATTCTAAGATTCTGTTAAGCATGCACAGTGCTACGTTCGCCGGTGTTTCTGGTCGCAGCAGACCTCTAAGGGGTAAGAAGGGAGGAAAAAGATTTAGTCCCGCGTGGGTAATTGCTACCTCGGTGCCCTGGTGAAAGCAAAGTGTCCTTGCTCTTTGTTATTTGGGGTACGATAAGAAGCGAGTTTGGCGGTGTCGGAGACACGGTTGAAGTTTGTGGCGAAGTGGCTAGGGTCAAGTTTGGCAGCGATTGGCCCAAGCTAGAGTACGCCGGCACTTGGACACTCAATGTGTTAGGCGTCGGTGACTTACTCAGCAGATATCGTCTATTATCAAATTTGTTAGGACTAAAATAACGGTCAAACGTTGGTCAGATTGCATTTAAACACTTGTCTTACTTGTGAATATTTTCTATTGGTCCCCGTATATTTACCTTATTTGCAAGGGTCTGTGGTTGTGCCCAGAACTCTCACCTCCTTCTTCCGACGACACGCTCGATGCTCGCGGTGGTTCGCTCGTTTCCACACTGACATTTCTGCTGGGATTATAACTGGGTACGAAGCTGCTGCTTCCCGGCGAAACACCCTCCATTTCTATACTCCCACTGGAAGCGGTATCGTGACTATTAGGGTTTGTAAATCTTTGATATTCTAATTAACCTTCATTTTTGATCCTGTTAATCAGACTAGCACCTGTACCTGTGACTGTGAGCGAGGCTGCTTACTCTCGATGCTCTGCTACTTCCTCGAGGCGTTTTCAAAATACCCTCGCATTCCTCTGGTTCAAATTCTACATCGCCGAGAAAAGTACTAGGTTGTCTACTGACCGTGCCTAAGTTCATCGTGTTGCCAAGAGGGGGTACTTTCATCAAAGCAAATTGTTGCTGTGCTTTCCGTATCGATTCCATCCATGACTGAAAATCGGGGCACGACGATACGTTATCCTCGGATTTGGAAAGAAAATTTCAGATACAAATACGATAGGAAGATACCTTGGCTAATTTTGATTCTCCAGCGCTGAGAACTAGAGCAGCTGATGCCGCTCCGTACTCGTTGAGATAAACCAAGCCTAAGCTGCTTGGCTCCTTTAGCTCGTGTATCCGGATGCGATCGATCACGTACGGTTGTCTTATAATCTTCAAACCGCCCCCGATAGTGCCAGTCAGCCCACTGGACGAGGTTTTCTTGGTCGACGGTTTGCAGATCAATAGCATGTCCGTTAGCAACAGTACGTGTACTTCTATCTACGAAGTCGAAAAATTTGCGTTTCTCTTTAATCCCAAGTTTCTTTTACATCTTATGGATCATGCTTAGCGAATTACCTTGCTGCTAGCGGCATCCCTCAGCTTTAGATCCCCCTCACGAAGGAGCATTCTAAGCGCGTCTTTCGGGCAACCGGGCATTGGAACTGTAGTAATGTCAAACGAGTTATATATTTTAATCAGTTTCTCTAATTCTTCGTCCCTGGACTCGACTACATCGTAGTTCTCTATTCGAGACGCGGCACTGGCCAATCGCGCTGTTTCCTCGTTCCTCTTCAAGGCTGCGTTCACTGACGCCACGAAGTCGTCTACAGATTTGATCTGTAACGTTTTAAATCTTCTATAGTAACAATATAACTACATTAAATAATTTGACGATTTTCCATACCATATGCGTCAACTCTGCACGCTGATCCTCGTTCTCCGTGTTCTTGTGAACAGCCTTCAAGAGCAGGGAGTACTTGGTCAACCTCTGCATAGGTTTCACCAGTATATCGAGTAATTTCAACCGATTGCAGTCCTTTTGAGTCTCACACCACTAGTAAATAAACAAGCGTATCAGAGAACGTTTTTAACTTTAACGAAGACTTTAGTCTGTCAAGGATCTTGACAACGATTTCCCAAGATCCTTACCACCAGATAGACCGTGAACAGCTGATTATCATTGAAACGGTCCCTGCAGTATTGCTGACACTTGCTCTGCTCCGCGCAGTATCTGGTGTAGGGTGCGAACGTTTGCTCGAATGTCTCGAAACCTTGCAGAAGGTGACTTGGATCGAGCGGTTGTCCAGTGCTTCTCGACGCGTTTATCATCGCTAGAACGTACTCGGACCAGAAGTAGCGATTCGCGGCGTAGATCTCGGGGATGTTGCTGAAGAGCTTGGTCCTGTCGACCTCGTTCAGGATATTCGAGGCCTGCAGGCTACAGAGGCACGCCATAAAGAGCTAAAACGCGAAGAAACATCACAGATTAACAAAGATTCGACACAGTCCGTGAAGACTATTCGACAAGAATACTCACGTCTGTCACGACCTTTAGAGTCTTGATATAAGCCACTTCCGTCTGAGCCAGCTCCCATAAAGCAGTCTGCTGTTGCTGCTGCTTCTCCGATAGTTGGTCCGAGTTATGAACAATGTCACGCCAGTCGTGTTCTAGGTTGTACAAGGCTGCAATGAAATTAATCGTTCAATTCATCACGCTATGGATTATCACTGGTACCCTAATTGAACTAAACCATGTCTTTCTGTCTTTCCAGCCGGGGACATTTCAAGACTACGAACCGGTGACAACGTCTGCGCAAAATCGCAATTGTACGTTCACGAACGGCACGTGAGCTCGTCAGACGAGAGTGTATAGTACTTTTGCCTAACATCGTTAACATTGTATAAAAGAACAACGATCGACCAGTGTTATAAATATGTATATTAAACGTTTCGCGATGTAAGATAATTTATTGGATATAAATACAAATTTGTTGTACAGGGCGGTTCTTCCTTTAACGCTAATCGTGAAATCTCTCACCGTCTTCGTTAAAGGTAATCTCGTAGGACAGTTGGAAGTCCGATGGCTTCGGTACGCCATGCTTGTTGTAATCGTCCAGCTGTGTCGTGAGTAAATCAAGCTTGGTGCCCTTGGTGTTCGTGAAGAATCCACTCCATCGCTGCTTGCTGGTCTTGAGCCCCGCAGCCCCAGCGGAGCTCCGACCAGACGTGAGCGCTGTGTTGGCTCCGACCTCGGAATCCACGCTCGAGTCTTCCGTCGAGACGCTGAAGAAACGACCGCTGCGACACCGATAACTCTGCAAATTAAACCTTCCATCACTCGTCTACTAATACCAGTACTCTCGCGTACTATACACGTGACTGATAATTATTGGCAAACGTCAGAGATCCCTAAGATGTCACTCTTGAGATAATTTGCATGGAACTTGATAATAAAAGGCTGTTACTATACTACTGTACAATTATTTGTATAAGGATAATTTTAATTGGACAGATCCAACGGTATTTTAATAGTTGCTATATAGGGTACACATGGACGATAAAAGACCCGTATCTCAAAAACATCTGTGACAGTTTCGATACCGTATATAAGGGAGGAAAATAATCTAACTGTAATTTTCTCTTGTTTCGATCGTATCTTGGTCTAAACTAGACAGGTCTCGAGATGGTCTAGGTTTATGACGGCCATTTAAAGGGAAAGTCTTGGATGTGTTCCGCAGATATGTCGGCAACCCGAGCAGCCGTTAAGAACGGGGTCACTATCAACCTAGGCTTATCCCGTCAGTATCTGGCAGGCGTGACGCCAGAGGGTCTGAGCGAAAAGACCCGCGATACGAGGGTAGTTACCCTGACTAGAGAAAGAGGTGACTAGTACAAAATACCATTGCAAAAGTGTAGTTGAGGATTTTATGAAATTTAGAGGCTCCTTGCAGGCGACTAAAATCTTTTAAGCGAATGACAGAGATTAGCTTATGTGGACTGGTTAATGCGCATAGATACTAGCGGTCATCTTGACAGAACATTCGAGAGTAGGACGGAAAGAATGCAAGAATATCGCGTGCAAAGACAAAGTCGATCTTCCTGAAGAACAAAGATGCATCGTTGTAACAGATGAATCCCCTCGAGCGGTCTGTTATATGCTCTGCGTAGGGGTGGCTCTAATCATCGAGCAGCGAAAGGCCTATTATTCTCGTTCGGTATCGCTATTAGACCTCTGTTTCGAGATCTCGTAATGGCCATAGAAACGCGATAGGCAATCAGGACGCGATGTTACCGGGCGGGAATCGACGAGGGGTCACGTGCACCGTTCTCGCAGCGTCAACTCATTAAAATCCGGATGCCAGCGTAATAGCAGGATCAGTATCGACCGTCGACCTACGCGGACATTGTTCGCGAGGACTGTGGGATCGCTTCGCAATTTGTCTTCGACTCGGTGGCTCGCCGGGTCAAGGTTCAAGAAATCCCCGATGTCGTCGCATTGTTCGCGATTATTAAAGCCCTGTCGGTGGCTACGTAGTCGATCGAAGATTAAGAGAAAGAACGCCGATGTGTGTCAGCTTTTGCCCCGGCGCACAATGGGCCATCGGCTTCGAGCCGATATCACGTCCCCGGAAAATGCGCTCCGGGGTAGATTACAGAGCCCGGCAGCCGACCAACGATTCGTTTGTGTCTCTTGGAACGCCTGTGCGGCGTTATCTGCGCTAATTAAAAAATCTGCACCGATCGAAAAGGCAGTCGCAGGGGTTGAGGGTGTCTGACGAAGGATCCAGGGGTCGAGGGGGGCGTTTCGATTCGACTCCAGGGACGAGGACGTGACGGAGGCGATGGAGGCGACGAGGGCGAAGGTTGTCCGACTCGCGGCTCTCTTCATCCTCCCCTGGGAGACGCGAAGGTGTCCAAGGTTCCATTAGAGGAATTAAAAGGTAGCCCGTTTTCTTTTTGGTTACCGACGACGGAAGTCTTACCCCGCTTGCTTTCCTCAGGGAGACGCTTTGGTTGCTTCTCTGGCTCGAAGATCTCGAGTTCGATTTGTCGTTGTCCTTAACTGGAACAGAAAACGAACAGCCATGTTCGGATGCACTTTGAAAACTAAAGTTCTCCGCGAGACACAAAACGTACTAGTTGGTTTCCGTTCATAGCCGTTTGTCATGCAGTTTCGTCTCGATCGATTGGGCGAGGCAGAAGGGAAAAAAGGAGGAAGTAACGGAAGAAGAGCGTTCGGGAGAGATAGGGAGAGACATTGGGGGGCGGTCTCTGTACTTTCCGTCGGAGTCGTAAAGCGTTCGGAGAGCACTCCGAAATCGGATTCGACGGAAGTTGCTGGGAGGGAGGGATGGGAAAAACACATTAAGCGGTAAACGTCGTGATTGATATTTGCCATTGATATATGTACGGGTGTGGAATTTCGGGAGTTATGGTTTATGACGACAATGTTTATTTCGGTGGAAACAGACAGCGCGTTATCGATGTTCGTGACAGTTTCGTACGGGCAGTCTGACCAGTGACGGACGTGTTTCACTCGCGTTTAAGCTGCGCGCTATCAGATCGCGCGTTTTTCTCCCCCGTTAGCGTTCGTGGATCGAGGCGAATGTTTCGGTGTAACGCGCGAAGGGGTAACTATTAGTCCCGATATCCATCTAGACCCGGTAAATAATTGCGTGAGCCTTTGTTCACGCATTAAAACCGTTTGCGTCACAGACGCGATATTTCTTTCGTCGACTTTAAAAACTCGAGGTCAGACCGCGTCGGTAGGCCTAAATTTGTCGCACTCGGGCTTCTAAAAATACCGTTAATACCTTCCCAGGCGGACCTTGATAGAATAGAGGTGAAAATTTGAATTTTGTCCCTGTCTGCCTCGCGATACCGGAGAGTTCGCTGAGCACGATGCTTATCGCGAATGGTCTGCTTATCTAAGACTATACAGTCGCTCGGCGAAACGTGGAAACACGGTTTGAAACGATGTTTCGAGTAACGTGTCCAGCAGGGAATTCCATTTCGACAGGACCTTCGCCGGTTTTCATCGGGACCAACGTTTCAACGTTACAGGGTATTTTCGCGACACGTCCATCCACGTCGGCCACTTCTGCAACGCGGCAAACGACGAGGAAAATTACGATTGCTGGGTTTTCTTGTTGCAAACAATTTGCGACTTGTCTCGTACGTTTATTTCAGCTTCCTTTTCCTCCTATTTCGCCCCCGTGCTTTCATTCCGCCCTTATCCCCGCGGCGCGCGTAAAACGAAAGCCCTCGCGGTCTTTCCGGTAACAGCCGCGGTGGAATGAAAGGAAACTTGTTAACCAGGAATCACAATAGAAATTTCCATCGATCTCCGGCCGATAATTAGATCGTCGTAAGGACAGGTCGCGTTGTGTACACACCCTCTCGCAGCAGCTGGTTACAATTAATCGAGTTAACCGTGCCTTATTGCCTCGTGGCGGAGCGTCCCGTTCACCTTCTCGATATTTAATATCGGCCGATGGCACGTAAGTGGGTTCGAGTCTGCTCGCGATAGGGTAGAAAGAGGTGCACGAAGGCGCAGCGCGTCGAGTGCCTTCGCGTCCTCGCGAATTCCTCGCAGCGCGAGCTCTCAAGGGTGCGGGGGTGAAATTAGCGAAATTAACCAACGCCGCGAATTACAGCCTCGCGTACCCTTTCGCGACGTGGCACATGGAATCGTCGCGTGATACGCGTCCATACGAGCCCGCGGCTACCTTTTCTTCCTCCGTTTTTTATTCCGTCGTTATCCTCCGCGCCGTGGGCGGAATGCCGTGTTTTACGCGGGCGGCGATAAAAATCGAGGGAGTTTTCGAAATCGATTTCACGCGTCGGGACGGTGGGAAAGCTCGGTATAAATAATTCCTGTCATCGGGAACGTTTTCCCTCAGCCGCGCTCGAAAACCCAAAACCGACGATTAAAATACACGAATGTTAAAGCGAGTTTCATGGAAATTTTCGTGGTAAATCAATTTCCACGAAATTTTTATCCTCATGGGGTAGTATAGAGCGTTTATTAGAGTAACATGTTTGACACCACGCATAGTTGGATTTAGAAAATAATCAGCGGCGTGGATTACGTGGATGGAGGCCGAAATAAATTTCGAGCGTCCATTTCAAGTAGAGTGTACCAACCGCGAGCGGACACGAAGTGAAACACGCCGACGGATATTGCGCCCGCGTCGGCAGTACGAACGATTTTATCCCGAGTTTTAAGTAGTACGACCCGATTATGCTCAGCCGACGCGACTCCGGGGCTCCGATCAAAGTTCCGGCCCTCGAACGATCCATTTATCGCCGGCCTGTGTACATTTATCACTCGTGCACACATTCGAACGCAATCGGCGACCACCATCGTCCCCGTACTTATGCCTTTTCCCCCCATTTTTTCCCCATCGATCGATGAAAGGCGTCGTCTCTCATTGACGCGCGTTTTCCCTTTCGCTGCCGGCATCGAGTCCAATTTCCTTTTCCCGTCGTTCCATCACCGATCAAACGCGGAGTAACCGAGTCCACCGCGCTCGTAACTCGATGACGCGATCGCGATCGCGTGTTTACACGTATAGGTCGTTATTGGTCACGTCGATCGACCCGTTTAACTTACCAATTCCTCGACGAAGATTCGTCGCGTGTCTGGTCGAACGTCAATTACACCTATCCCGCGATTCTCTATCCGTTATCAGCTGTGCATGAATTATGCCACGGTTCGTGCGCCACTCCGCTCTTTAACTCGCGAAGGTTGCGAAGGAGATTGCAGCCGAGAATGCAAATGTTTCACGGGTTAACGAGCGAACTTTCGCGATAACCGGCAACTTTCACCTAGGCATTCGACGGTTTCTTTTAATCGCTGCACCCTATCTCGCCGGCAATAATGGCACCCCGTATCTGGCTCTCGATATTCCAGGATACCGGACTGCGAAATGCGAAAGAATAACCATTCGCGCGGTTACCTGTGATCCTCAAGTGCTTCCCGCCCAGGCTGGAAGTGTCGGTGGTGAGGATCGGCAATGGCGTGGAGAAGCCATCGAACACTTCGATCCGCGACACGTCGATCCCGCGTCTCTCGCACGCCGCGTTCAACGCTTCCCTGTAACAGATATTTCCCTCATTTTCTCGCCAGCGTAATCGCGATCCATGACCGCCATTTTATAGACCCCCACGATCGAACGTTCGGACTGAGTTGGTACAACGACAACAACAATAGGAGACCACGCCTCTGCTGTAATGGCCCTCGACAAATCCCGGACCGGAGGGAAAGTACCCAAGTACCATCTGGTCCGGGCGCGATACATGGCGTTATAATGCGGCCATAAAGGGCCGGCAAGTTTGATAAGATTACATTGCGAGCCCCACCGAGGTCCTGCGGGATATTACTCATTATTTAGTGGCGATTATTAAGCAACGTCACGACCTGACTGCTCAAAGGGCTCGTTCGAGCCTGGCTTCGTCTCAAGGCTGCCACTAAATTCGCGCCTTTCGGCCCTCTGCCTGCGGTGAAATTCCTCCAAATTACCACCATGGTCGTCTATTTACGAGCACGTAAATCGCTCGAAATTTCATTCGCTCCTGACACCTTCCTGCCAATTTCCCTGGCAACATGTCACTCCAACATTCGCTGTCTTCCAGTTCTCGGTAATTAGTCGATCACTCGCTGGCGAGGAAAAATTCGGGTATGGGCTGGTTTAAAACAAGCGTACCGTGTGTCCATGAAAAGCTGAACCAATAGATTATCGTTGTTTTATTAATTCTACACGATGGCTAATTATCTTGTAACTATCTCTGACTGACGCACGGGGAATTCGAGATATCTAGATGTCTCTCGAGATATCGCGTAGCAGGTCCCTAATGGCGTGATCCATTTTCATTTATTTTCAGCATGAAAAGTTAATTATAGATGTATTACGAGAAAAGACACGAAATAGGAGGATGAAATTTTGAATAAAAAATTAAAAATCAATGATTCTTATCAGGATAATGTATTAATTAGGTTACCAATTGGTTCTCCATTTTTTCTGAACGTCTTCTAGATGTACAGTAGGACTTCATAGATTTCATAGAGATAGGACTTACGACAAGTAGGTGCCCTTCGCCGTTGGCAGAAGCTCGTCCCGGTCCAGGCCGCTCGAGTCGTCGGACAGCTCGAAGCTGACGCTGAAGAATTCGCTGCTGGATACCTGAAAAATTGATTCCAAGTTTTGGCACGTCACGCGATTATTCGAGGAGGCTTGGCACCATAACTACTCCGAATTCGACCGTTGAACCGAGAGTTCGCGACTGGCTGTCCAACTTTGGATTACGTGGAACCGAGGCGAGACTCGAGGACACTACGGAGCTTTGTAAATTTGGCAAAGAGATTAGGCCGAATTCGCGAAACCCTTGGACTCCTGTAATCGCGTGTTTCGCAATTCCGAATCTGTCGATGCAAAAGCCAGACCTCTTAAACTCGCCACAGAATTATGGCATGGTAAATTTAATTTAAAAAATATAAATACGACTGCAGCACCTAACGCGACGATATTAATTATTTCCAACTGTTTAGTTATTAAAAAATTAATAAAATATTGGCAGTAACGCTTTATTTCACGTACACCCGGTGTTAAAATGGTCGCAACGAAAAGATGGTGGCAGGCAAGGGAAAAGTTTAAGGGACCCTGCCCTAAGGAATCCTTCGCGCGGCGAAAGCTCGCAGAGCTTGGGGATTTCGCGCGGCTTTAATTCGCGGGGAAAGCGTGTGCCGAGGTTGATAAAAGGTCGGTGAAAAATTTCGCATTTTCAGCGGGGCTGATAAGCGATGCGGCGCAACGCGTGCCTAGCGAAAACGCTGAGTGCCCATACGAACGGGGGCTTCTCTATGCTAGCTGACGATGACAGGCAATAAAGTACGAAAGGGCTTTCATTTATGAACCCGTCCACTCGCACATGGAGAATGGATCGCGCTCATTTGCCACGACCTTTTTCCTGTCACTTAGTTTTACAATCGCCCGCTTTTATTGCCGCTCGTATTTTTCTCATCGCCGTTTAACCGATACTCCGCGACGTTCTCTCCTTTCCCGTCTAGCCTCAAATCGCATCACGGAAGCTCTCGCCGATGCTGGCGCGACAGCTTTCCGGAAGTTCCCGAGACGAGGGACGATCCGTCAAACTTGTCTGGCGTGTGGCTTATAACCTCTACCCTACTCTACTCTACGCCACTATTTTCCCTATTTTCGTCTTTACGTATCGTGGAAATGCTAGGTTCGATTGGAGTATAATAATAAAATGGCGACGACTTCAGACAGTTCGCGAAACTCTTATCTTTAAATGCTTCGTAGGCTCTTCTTCCATTGCGAACACTGAACTCTGTAGATGCTTAATCGGTAATTGATTTGTCCTTTGCTTTTCCTTAGAAGTCAGTGGAATGGTGTACACGTGAAAGTGTCTTCCATTGTCATCCTTTGTCATCCTTTGTCATCCATTTCCTATACGATTCTTCCTCTTTTTCACGAGGTTTGTAAGCCATTTAATAAAATTCGTAACGGTGGAATTCTCCAATATACGCGACGTTCCTTAAAACAATGTATACCTTCTAGTGTTTAATTTGCATGCGATTAGGTCTGCATAGTGATCGATTACCAATCACGGTCGACTGACTTCTTGCGAGCTCCGTACAGTATGTACATCCATTCGGGGTCTTCCAACCAGCCGCTTTAGGTCTGTCATTGTTTGTAATGGGTCTGAACTAGGCGTGCTTTATTTACACATTTAACGGTCTACACCGAACATTGTTTACCCACCCCAAGTAAATTCCATCATTTTCGAAGAGTCGGGGGCGGTTTACACGGGGATATGTTGGCCACCACAATAGCAGCAGACGTCGTTGCATTTCGGTTAACGTTCCGCGTCCGAATTGCATAAAACGATCTTGATGTTCCTCGCTGTTTAATTAATGCACCGATGGGAACAGTGGCACGGAAATATCCCCATTTTCCGGTGCAACGTAATATATATTAGCCGACAAGTAGAATAGGGCCGCGAGCGGCCGGACAAGTAGAGTAGCGCGCGTGTGGTCGGGCAAGTAGAACGAGCCCGCACAAAGTCAATTTGTAAACGATGCATCCAGCTACTTTTACAGGCGTGTCTCGACCCGGCAACCATGCGAAACATTTCGAAAACGCGTTAACAAAGGACAGGGCAAAAAATGCTCGACAACCACCCCGTTTTGAATTCGTCGATTGGAAGCTTCTTCGCTTTTAACCGGATCTCTAATTACGCGAGTTCCGCTCAATACCGCCAGCATTTTTCAAAGAGGATTCTTCTATCGAGTGGTAGCCACGCGAGTGTACACAGTCGAGAACAAATTTTCAGTGGTTTCTGAAATTAGTACAATCTACGTTTTCGGCTCTCTTTGAGCGTCCAGTGCGTAACGAAGCTCAACCGAAACCGTGCACAATCGATATTTAACGGAGTGCAAAGCTGTAAGAGTCTTTTAAAGCGGACGATAGAGGCAACAATTTCAAATATAAAACTGTATTTTTCAATATTTCAGAGTTTCTGAGATACAAGATTATAGCGTAGTATCGTAGGTTTAAGGAGCCTACACGGAAAAGGACCGTGAAAGGGAAAGTGAGTGGATAAAATTGGTGGAAAATCAGACCCATTGAGAAAACGATCCACTGATTGGTCTGCAATATTTTTCACGACCGAAGAGGTAAGGTTAGTTTTAAGAAAAATTAGAGAAAGAAAGGAACGACCCTCTCCAGGAAGGAGTGTTGCATGAAGCTTGGTAGCAAGAGACCCAAAGAAGTCTAGAGCTGTTTTGAGTTGTCTTTTCCATTTATATACGTCACTGTTCGACTAACCGCTTTCTTCGTATAATCTTACTTAACCTCTTCGTCTATAATATCATGTGAGACTCGTAGGCAGGAAATCGGTCCAAACACGAGAGATATGGTTCGTAGCTAGGATCCAATGTAAACATCGTCGAGTTCGGAGAGGCTCGTGGATAATTTTCGTCGATGTTTTCCTGTTTCACGAGTCTCACCTTGAAAGTTGTGTGTCATACTTCGTCGCGTTCAGACGAAGAGAGCCTCGACGTGTGACCGACTCTGTTGTTTATAATGGCACGTGCTACAGGAACCCAAATCGTAAGGTAAGGAGTCAACTAATATACATATAGTTACCAGAAAAATAATTTAAATTAAGAAAAATCGCATGTGATTATGAAAATATTACTAGGTATTTATAAAATCATTGAGTATGCTATTATTTTGTCATGTATTGTACATTTCCATAGTTATAATTACAAGGAAGGGTTAGGCGTCCATTTCGTCCGATTTATGGACAACTATATTCCCAAGTATATTGATCATGATCCATCAAACATTTTGTTGGTGGTTGCAGAGTCAAACTTATATGGGAGCAGAACGTGGTTCTTGTAATATAAGTATATTTTATATTCTTATTACACTTTATATAACAGGACAACGGTTTTCGTGTGCACGTGTTTACATTGGACATAAATTCTCCGACACATTTTCCGGAAAAGTTTGTCGAATCACTCGGATAGTCCACGAATTTGACCACAGGAGCTAGTCCTTGGACACGTCTGAAACTTACATCAGACGAATCGATAGCGACAGACCCTCGGTCCGTTTGCATGCTATCGATTCGTGCCGGGCCAAGAAACGTTTCGCCGATCCCACGGGAGCAGATGTCCTGTAATTCCATCTTCCGCCATAAAAGTAAATACGCGTCCGTGATAAAGCTACAAACGGGCTCGTTACGTCCAATCAAAGTTTGTTTGAAAAAAATTCCGCGGTCAGGGCGGTGATCGACACGTATCCGTGGAACGATAATGGGGCTAATCGTAGGAAATAGTCCATCGATGGAGTCCAACTGGCTGTTTCATTGCCTCAAATCGATCATCCTTTTTTGCCACTCCCTTCTTGTTCCACTTCCAGCCGGCATCTTCCTTTTGCTCCGATAGCTTTTTTCCCATCCAACGTATTGGCTTACCATTATTTACCATTTAACGGGGAAAACTACCGAGGCTACGGTCAATTGGACTGCCTTCTGCTGCATAGGGTGGCCCATCCAATCTGATCACTTCGATTATTTCACCGATTATTTAGTTATTGCAGAACCAACTAAATCTTTCTTTTTTAACGAATATTAGGATGTTAACCCCCTTGCCCTTTGGTCCCAGTTGGTTTAACCCTTTGCACTCGAGAGGCGACTCTCAGTCACCATTTAATCAGATTCTAAAGATCGTTGTTAATTAATATCTCGAATTTAAAATTACCCAACGACGCGTTGAATATCGAGGTGAAATAATTCTACAATTAATTTGCACTTCTTATTTACCGTTTTGAAAATATCGTCGATTTTATGGCAGAAAGTCTTCGAATTACTATGTTTCTGTAACGAAAAGATCGTCGAGTGCAAAGAGTTAATACCGTTGAAGCTTGAGCAACGAATACGAGGCAACAACTAGATTGGAAGTAACTACACGGGGAATATTGAAATGAAATCCGCGTGATTTTCTTTTTTTAATTTAGAACGAAGGGTATCAAGGAACTTGGAAAGTAATTTAAGGAAAGCTTCGAATTGCTATATCTTTATAGAGAGTGCAAAGGATTAAGAAACTTTTAAAATAATAACAGCTGATTTTTGTCAAATTAATATTTAACGAGCCATTCGCAGGTTAAAATGATTACTATTGGTAATATGTAATATCGAAGTATTTGAGGGATGTTCAACCATTTTTGTTTAATAATAAAATAAATTTCTATTTATTTTATTATTTTATTATTTTATTTAGAGAAAGCACGAATTTACCAATAACGAGAATAGTCCAAGAGGACATGTCAGTTGGTCCACCCTGTATATATATCGGTACTTTTTCTGCCCCTACGCATTACCCTTCGAGGACCTTGCGGGAACGAATGTAAGTTAATAGTCGGTGGTTACGGCGTCAACGAAACGGTGGTCGAAGAAATATTTTCCCCTAATTTGCAATAGTTAAACGAGCAACGTACACTCTATACGTTAAAACGCAATTTCCCCTCCGCACGATTATTCAGCGCTGTTTTACATAATTGGAAACAAGAATGGAGTTGTTGAGCATGCAACGTCTGTAATATCGATTCTTTTTCCATCGCGAAAACGCGGAAACGACGCCGAGCCGTCGGACTCGAGCGTTCCAGTTCCCTTCCAGCTTCTAACTGAGTTTCCCGATATTTTTCCTAGACCTGGGTTATCATAAACGGACAGCAGCGGCGCTACGCGTTTGCATAATATCTCGGGATCCTTTGTTCGCCCTACTGACGACTCCGGCCACTTTCTTTGATGAGATTTCGCGATACTTAATAATAAAGCGACGGAAAGACCATCTGCGCCCTAGAAGAACGGAATCTCCGTTGAACGATCTCGCTGTGTAATCCTGTTTTCAATTTTCTTCGCAGAAAGTGAGACGTCGGATCGCGATAAACATCTAACTCTTCTCACCCGGATTTTTCTTTCTTCGGATGATCGAGGAAAATACCTATCGATAGCCACAACCATTTATCCTCATTTTCTTGGTCTAAATACACCAATGGTAAAAAGCCTATTGACAGCCACTTGGATATTTGATTTAAATCATCGTCGATGAAATACCTATCGATAGTCACAACGATTTGTCCTCATTTTCTTGGTCTAAATACCTTAATGGTAAAAAGTCTCTTGACAGTCATTAGACATTTGATAGTTCCCAAAAAATTAGAAATCGCAGTTCTTTAAAGCATCGTCGAGGAGAATACCTCTCGATAGCCACAACCACTTATCCTCATTTTCTTGGTCTAAATACCCCAATGTTAAAAAGTCTTGACAGTCACTTGGATATTTGATAGTCCCCAAAAAGTTTGAAATCACAGTTCATTAAAGCATCGTCGAGGAGAATACCTCTTGATAGCCACAACCACTTATCCTCATTTTCTTGGTCTAAATACCCCAATGGTAGAAAGTCTCTTGACAGCCACTTGGATATTTGATAGTCCCCAAAAAGTTAGAAATCACAGTTCTTTAAATCATCGTCATAGTGGTCCTTAATCCTATTTTTCTCAAGTATCATCGTGCAATATGTGATCAAATCACGCACCAGAATCTAAATTAGGGGTGTCCAATCTCCTAGCTTCTCTGGGTTACATTGGAGGGTGACGAGTTGTTTTGGACCACGTCAAATATATCTAACGCTCGCTTCTTAGGTCACAGATTCGCCACCCATGCTCTAAATAGTACCCATTTATCATAATACACCTCAGTATAATTTCAGAGTTTTGTACAATTCGGTTCGATACGAATATTACCCGAGAGTTCAACCGCAGATCGAGAATTTGATCAGCAACAACCCTATTAACTATTTTTCTATAAGCACTGTCAATGAAACCATTTTTATTAACCCTTTGCACTCGAGAAACGATCCTTAGTCACCATTTCATAAAATTTGGAAGATCGATATTAATGAATACATCAAATTTAATGTAATGTAACAGTGTGCAAGGTATCGAAATCAAATAATTCTACAATTCTATTATTATAAAATTCTTTATTTCCTGCTCAAAAAATTATCGTCAGGTTTTTAATAGAGAATCTTTGATTTTCTACTCTTCTCTAGCCAAAAAATTGTCGAGTGTAAAGGTTTAATACGCGCGTGTATATAGCTAAACTGTCGATTAACCCTATATTTTGCCCTTCGGGAGTCTCAATAGGGAAAATTCTTCCATAATGAGTTGAATGAACATCACGCACTTCAAATCCTGCCCGCCAGGATCTAACCGCTGGTCTATCACAGATACCCGCATCAAAGCCGATCAACTAAATCCGAATTACCCGTGCATAATCTGCATTAGACCTAAAACGAAAGTTGGAAGCGCGGTGCAAATAAATCTATGGAACCAGCAAGAGTCTGAAAGCATCGCGAGACTCTTCCGTTCTATAAACATTAATTTATTCGAGGATCTCGTTCCAAAGATAGAATTTGCATTTCAATATTTTCCTCCGGACTCGAAACGCGTCGCGTCTTTACGGATTCGTTCAACTCCGGAGCCGTGCGAGAGGCCACAAACTGAATTTGCCTAGGCCGAGGGCTGCACCTTGGGCTGCACCAAATACTCCGTCCAGAAGGGATTACAGGGAGCGCGGCCTCTGCGCAGACACACCAAGTGGCAGGTGTTTGACGGGGATCGGTCGCTTAGCAATTCAAATGGCAGCGAGACGGCCGTGTCCCACTCGTTAGCCACGATGGAAATAAGACGATAAAATGTCTGGCAAGGCGTTTCGTGCGTCGCGTAATGCCGACGATTACGAGCCATTTACGTTCCCGACGAGCCTCGTTTCGGTCGGCTGGAATTAATTGCCCGGCTACGCCCTCCGCCACCAGCGTCACGCCGGTCCCTTAATTTTTTTCTCTCGCATTACTCGAAGGGCAGCCAGCGCGTAATTTCATTTGCCGTCCGTGGAAACTGCCGCCCTTGCTTTCAATTTTCTTCTCCGTCCTTTCCGTCAGTCCAGTTTCTCTTTCCTTCGATTCTTAGGCTTCTCGCGTTCCGTTTCGATTTAACCCCTTTGTCTTTAATCCCCGAGTCTTCGCCATTTTCTTCTTTATTTTTAGTCCTGTCGGACAGGAACGAACAACTGTTCCTGTTAATTATAGAACTCGCGTGGGATCATAGAGGTGCGAGGAATAAAAGGAAATGGGGTAACCAGGGTGGTTCTTGGTTGGTTCTTCAGCACACGCTTGCTGCTCGAAAGTTGTAAGGCAATAATTGGGAAATTTTTCAACCAATTCTCTATCTTAGCCTGAGAATAAAAGCGGAGCATTCGCGCGAGAGTCTGACGAACTCTTACCAATTTTTAATTTCGATAAAGGAAAGTCCTCTTAAATTTTCTTAAAATTTCTAATTATCGATTTTACCTTTAGAGCGAGTAGAGAGCGCTTTCAATAATAATCTCGATATAGTATTCTCCACTTAGAATAGTTGTGTCACACTCCACGTCGATCAGGCCCCAGCAGCCGTTACATCTGCCAGATAGTAATGGAGAAGACGAACTTGCCTCGATGGTGACCTTGCCCTTACCAGAACTTTGGCCGGTGGTCACATCTGCGGGACATAGTCCAGACTTCCCTAAGCTTTCTCCATTAAGTAGCCATCATAAACCTAAGCCATAAACCCAAGTGTCGAAGCCTTTATAGCTCGAGCCGAGAGACAATTACGCTCGTGTATTCATACTCTTGCTCTCTACTGGTTACCATGAACAATTCGCTTATTACTTCGTTTTACAAATGGAGACATTTTATTCACAGTGACAGCAGGATAATCGAGATCCATCCCTTCTTCGTGTGTTATATTTCCATTGCAATTCCGTTGTCGAGTGACAACGGAGTTTCTCGCTCATAAGTATAGCAATTCAAATAAAACAAAGAGGTCCTGGTCACTCGAATTGGCAGCGACTGTATCGTCACGAGACGCATCACCTAGGTGACAAAATCTTTCGTTATTTCAGAGATCCGGCGGAAATGTCGGCGAGCGCGGTTAAAACCTTCAAGGGATCGAATCGTAAGTCTTTTCGGCTTTTCGCAAGGCCGCCGGCTTTCTCCCGTCTTTCACTCTGCTTTCACGCGATACTTTGCCATAATAAATCCTCGAAACGTTCGAACTTGTTATTTATTCTTCGCTCGAGGTTTCCCTTTCACGTCCGGCCACGTCCTTCTCACTTTCCCCAAGCAAATTCGAAACGACGCTGTTCCCACCCCTAATCACGGTAGGAAAGTTACGAACACACGCTGGTTGATTTGTTCGCGAGTTTTTAACGAGGTCCGATCTCTGTCGGAAGTTTTATCAGGCCGAGCTACTTTAAGTAGCGCGGCCGTTCTCATAGTCAGACACGAAGATTAATTCCTTGTCTGGCATGTACGGAATTGTTTGCCGCTATTGATCGGTCTGGGAAACAACACCGACGGATCGCGAAGGTTACGTAAGTCCGCGATATCCCTAAAATTAGGACGGCTTTTAATTGTTATTCCCTAAATTAGAACAGCCCTCGCCTCGCGTTTCGCGCGCTGGCTGGCGTCGTCTGGCGTGCCGGGAAAAATAATTCTCCAGATAATTCCATGACGAAAAGCACTGGCTCCACTGCTACATACTGCGTGTATCTTGACAAACGAGTTTGCCTGCTGAAATTAATTTACAAGAACGCCGCGACTTCAAGTAAATTAGATTGTATCTCCTGTATGTACAGACCGTTCCGAAACGCGTGGACATAACATCCCGAGGGGGTAAATTCAGTTTAGTAAAATGGGAGGTGGTTTATATATGCTTAGAATTATAGCTGTTTTTGTTTTTCGCTAATTCCTATGTCTATTGACCACTTTCTTCGAGTGTCGAGGAATAACGTTCCGCGTCTCAGGTATAGTCTTCTTGTTTGCTATGTAAACACGTCGAATAGTCAATCCGAGGAGCAGTGACATTTTTAAGCTCGCTTTAACACTAGAACTACCAACCCAGTCAAAATGACTGGTCCCAGAATTTTTCTTTTCGCAATCACCGAACACATACACCTGCTTTGAGAATAAAATTGGTATCAACTCGTATTAAGAAAGAATTGTAATTAATATATTCACTCAGATTCATCGTACCGCTGAAATTACTGTAATCTGTGCACGTTATAGTTAGGTACTCATTAAAGATCGGTAGTTCTAGTGTTGAACGTCAGATAATAACTTGACAGATTTTTATTCGTATATAGGAATATTATCCTTGGGAAAAAGATTTTTGCCAATCTCGATAATTATTTCTTCGTTACTTTCTCTTCGATAATTATTCTGTTTTCACTTCGTATCAAACCGATTTATACCTCGTTTTATTAAAGCACTTTAAATCTAAAGAACTTTAAAGTTAAACTAATTTTAGATAATTTCGTATTATCTTGTCTATAGGAAAAGTGAAATTGTAACATTTGAGAAATAATTAGTCGATATTAAATAATTAATTATACCGAATTAAGCTCTACATTTGTGTCCACGGTTTGTGGTTTCAAAGCACTCCGTTCATAGATAGGATTTTTAAAAATATTATTTTTTAAAGACTAGGACATTGGGTTATTTCGTTAATTAATTTCTCGTCTGCACTAACCTGTGACCGAGACAGCTTGTGCCTGGTGCGGTTCTGGTGGGCTCCCTCGACGGAAGGCGCGGTGGGCGCAAGGAAACGTGGGTTACTTTCGACATTTTGGGGGTGGTGCTGCAACTGTTGAAGCTGGTAATGGTGGTGAAGGTGATGGGGTTGCTGCTGCGAGGGACCACCCCCCAGATGGTGCTCCCCCGTGTCCAGCATTCTGCTGCCCAGAGCGTCCAGCTGGGTCAACGACCTCGAACGCACCTGCAACCACACAGACATTTCCATCGTCGTCGAAATTGCATTTATCGTTTCAAAATATTTATCGCGATCGACCCTGTGAAACGTGGGAAAGACGCACGGGTGTACGGGTTGCCGACTTAGCTGCCATCGCGAAAGTAGAACGCGAGTATTCGATCGTGGGCGAGGTGGAAGTAGAATGGGTCCGACATGTGGGCAGGCAAACAGGAAGCGGAGGAGCGATATTTGTATCGAGAAATGAAAATTGGGTCGCGTGTGTCGCAGGACGTCGTCGAAAATATCTTAACAAGACGGCCCGGGACAAGCTGAGATTGCATACAAATTGTTTAGTAATTAAAGGGTTCGCGAAATCTGCGGCAATCTGGCTCAGGACGTGGCGAAAAATAAATTCGGAGCCGGGAAATTTCGTGTCGGCTAACTGGGTCACTGCCGATCGACCGGTTTACCAGTATCGATCATCCCTCTCGAGAGCCTTCGTTATCTCGATCTAGTCGGAGCATTCTTCCGTGCTTTTATCTAACCCTTTTTGTTCGTTTATCCACTCCGGTCCGACCAGTCCCGAAGCTGACTCCTTTCGATCGACCTGTTTCGCGGAATTGCCGTTCGTTCCGCGCCGTGGAAAATGGCCTCGAGCCGACTCGTAGGCACTTCTCGCGGCGTACCGCGGGCAAATCGGAAGGGGGAGAAGATGTTAATGGTTTTGTGGCATAACGATCCGTTATTGATCTCATCGGCGGCGAAATGCAAGCGCTAAGCGCCGTTTCGGACTTTAAAATGGCCACTGAAACGTTGCCAGCGGCCTCTGTTATTCGAGCACCATCCACACCCGCCATCGCGTTTCCAAACGATATCGAGCACCGTGCTATTCTCCGCGCGAGAAAATTCTCGTTATTCCTACGTTTTATCTGCCATTTTACAGATACCATTTTTTCCATCCCTGACATATTCGCGAACCCTTAAAGGTTTCGGATATCGGCAAATCTAGCGTAACCGGGTAACCTCACGGTGCATGTCATTTCGTTGAAAATCCATCCGGATTAGTTTGCCGGATTTGCGGTATTTTGCAATAAGAACGTCACTTAATCGGGTTTCAATGGATTCTAGATAGCCTTCGGTAAAGTACAGTTGGCTTAGATAGAGATTTCACCGTGATGATAGGAAACATCGAATAAATTGAAATGTCCGAAATTCTTCCTGATTTAGGAACGGATGACAGTGGTATACTACTCGGTCAGGCGACCGCGAGTAGAGTAGCTCGGCCACTGGTGCGGCCAGGGGCGAGAAATAGGCCGGGGCGAGAAAAAATATTTCCATCTGTCAAGGAAGGGGAGTATCGAGCGATAAAATGTTGGAGGTGTAAAGGAAAATGAAAAACGAGTATCGCGTTGCGGAGGAGGAACCAGCAGGCGAAGAATAGGGAAGAAGTAAAAGGTTTCCGTGCTAAAAACCGAGGAAAGGTGCCGCTAGTGGATGGTGGTTTCACCCGCGGTATTCACGCGAGACCTGCTCGTGGTTGTTAAGGGTTGCAACGATATCTCACGAGCGAGAAAAATGATCGCGGGAAGCACGTCGGATTTGCAATAAATTAATCGAAGATCACGGAGGCGCTGCAGTGTTAGTTACCGTCCACGGTCGCGTGGTTCCTGATAAATCAAGTGGCCGATAAACCGATGCACGTTTTTCACGGAGAGAAATTTTCCCCTAGCTGCGTTCATATTTTACCATCCAGCCTGTTCCGTGCTATATCCCGAACGTGTACGTTTCGAAGTGTATTCCGGGAAGCGGAATATGTCGGAATAGAAAAGTAAAAGCACACCTGGAGGACTCTATATTCCGTCCATCGAACGTCTAGGATGCCACGTTTCGTTTATGACAATTTTATATCGAAACGACAAGTTTCCCATGGCCCAGCCTCGTGCCGCTTTTCTATCGAGCATGGAGTAGGTGGGTAATTAATCAGGCTCACTCTTGCAGTCGGCGAATAATATCGAAGTAGGTCAAGTAGCATCAAAAGATAGAGTAATCAGGCTCTCGCGGAACATCCTTCGACATTTTCCTCGGTTTGATCAGCATCGGAATATTCGGCTTCCGAATATGTTCTTGATACCTTCCTTGCCCGTCCCATATATGCAAATTAACGTAAGCCACGGCATTCTGGGCCATTGCATTAATCAACGCTCGCTGAATGATTCGAGGACTCCGAGCGCATCTCGAACGCGTGCGCGCGCATGCATGTGTCCGCGTTTCCATGTGAGCATTGCGACCCGCGAGTTTCCGAATTTTCCCTGCGACGCGGGGGATGAAGAAGAGGGGAGAGGAGTAAAGATAGGAGCGAAAGAGGAATACAAGAAGATGAACATTTTGGGCGGTATTAATATGAAAGGCCTCTGGCGGGGACATTTTTCAAAGTAACGGACGAAACAACGGTTACCGCGAGATACGAAAAGTTACGATGGGCTCGTATTACGGGACGTTAGCTGGAGGGCGAAACGCGAGGGGAAACGGGCATTCTATTCGGAGATATATTACAGGTAACGGGACGGGTATTACATCTGCCTGTAACACCGTGACACCCGCGAAGCTTCGAAACTTGTTTCAAAGCCAGCAAACCGTCGCAGGTTAAAATAAACTAGACGATCTAGCCGATGTAATAAAACTGCGCAGCTTTAATAAAAGGAATAAGGCTTCCTGCATCGTAAAAGGGTACATATACATAAAGCTGCCTTTCGAACGATATTTAGAGAATCATCGTGGCGCGGGTAATATGTTTAGTGAAATAGCTCGGTATATGGGCTGACGGGCACGTATTCGCAAAGTGTTTCATAAGGTCCATGGCAGGGCCGTATCGAGCGATATCCGAGTGAAAAATAAGATGGTTTTCGATACCGCTGGGTATATACGGTTACTGACAAATGCAGAGGAACGAAGTAATACCTTGAGAATTTTCTTCATCTCGTCAGACGCGTAGATTAACGCTGAAAATACCGCGATCCCAGTGATCGTTTTCGCAGTTTTGATTAAAAGTCGCACTGGTTATTGGACTTGGCGGGTCCCTTTTAATATCGTGTATCTATGTACGAGCAATTTTTCAAAATCCCCTCACATTCCATTTGTTTGAAAAATAAAAAATAAATCGTGGACCAAGGTCTATCATTTATCCGTGTTTAATTGGTTATCTCTTCGCTCTATTTTCAATTTCGCACACATGCAACGTAAATTCGCGAATGATTATTTTACTTCTCATCGTTTGCCAGTGATTGCATTCGCGTGGAGCCGAAATAAATGGGCACTTTTTGCGCGCATAAATATCAGTGTAAATCCTGCGCACGTTTCTCCGCCATTTTTATTCGTTTATTTATACTCCCGATTCGTTTATTTCTACCGTCCCTGTTTGTTCACTCCCTGTCCTCTCTAATTTACATCCTTAACCCCTCCTTCGAGCTTCTTCCCTTCGAGAACACCACTCGTGGCGCGGTGCAGATATATTTTCGTAGGTTTTTCACCTAGCGCGCTTCCGTTGGGCGCTATTCATTGGCCAGGTTGCATCGACATGGAAAAAAGAGGAGAAAAATGAGAGTGACTTTTGTGCAGTATTTCTTTTTGTAATAGATTACGCACCCACGTATTGGATCCCGACCTAGTTCTAACGTATTGGGTGTCCGTTGGAAAAAATACGGCTCGTTTTTCAAAAGTATCGCTAAACGTTATTTTACGCGCCCCTTCTGGCACGATCTCGTATCGCTCATGCGTGTCTCTCGTTAGTCTTCTCTTTTTTCCCACCAATGCCGTCGATTTTCGTCCGTTCCACGCGACCCGTTTAATTTCCGGAACACGTTACCGGCTACGTCGCTAGGCGAAAGTTCGCCAAACACCGCTCTGGTAATTTACTAATATCGTTGGTAGCTAGAGGACGAGGCAGCAAGTAGTAAGTCCGGTAAATCCACTAAGTCCAGTAAGTACCTCTTAATTAACCTAACTCTTAAAAGTGCGTTGCGAGCGAGGAAAAAATATAACGCGAATTAATTCGTTACGCCACGGTAAATATTAATCTCCTGCACACCATTGGCGGCCATTAGTATACTACAGTGACATTAATCCGCAATCTATCATTTGGCTCTGTGTTCGTTAATGAAGATGAGAATCCGAGTAAAACTACTCTACGAAGAAATGCACAGGTGTGTTTAATACTTTCTCCTCCAAAGAATTAAAAATTCCTTGACAAACGAAGAGGTATTCTAAATAAAAATTAATTTAGTTTAATCGTACGATATAATCTCGAACACGTTGGCGAGCATAGTTACAGCTAGCGTGCGTCATCTGCGAAATTCCACGGATTCAAAATTCAAAGGGTTAAGAATCGAGCGACGAAACATGACAATTGTCACCCTTAAAAGACAGCGTTTGAAGCGTAGTCCGTGGTAACTGAAGCGGAAAATGCGGACTGGGTGAATCCTAAGCTTCGTGCCTCGGAAGTAGCCCAGCAAATGCACACAACTGCAGGTCGACTGTGTAGTCGTTGGGTTAACCCTCTGACAGAAAACTGGGAAAG